CAGCGGAGGAGGGAATACTGTCCTCCTTCTCCTCCCCCTCCTGCCACCTTCTACCCTCTCTCACCCCCGGGATGCACACCAAGCTCGTTCAGTGTGTTGAGGATACGTGTACCGTACAACATCCTCCGTGCCTCGTACTCACCCACATCTTAACTTCCACCCCCGACCTCCGTCCCACCCCTCTGCCTGTCTACGTGTACCTGTGCTACCTGGTTCTCTTTGCTGCCTTTAAGAGTCCTGGCAGCGCTGGTCCCTGGCTGGGAAACTCCCGTTCTCTCCGCCTTTTCTTTTCCTTTCGGTTTTTCTCTTAGCTTCTTCGATTCCGTCTCGTGCAAGCCGACCGACGTCCGATTGAATCGGTATTAACAGCAACCGTCGAGGCGATGCCTCGGGGTCATCGGGTTATTTACATTCGTTACCGACATAGAACGCGAGTAGAGAACAGCTTAAGCTGTACTGTTTGATGAAAGATAGTGTCTGAGCTAAGTTTGACTTCTGCCCACCCCTTTTGTAAAATGAATGAACAAATATATTTGGTTCATTGATGATTATTTTGCTATTTTTCGGTGGTAAGATACTCAGTGTTTTCTTATTTTTGGAAAGATATAATATAACATTCAGAGACTAAGAACTTAATAATAAATAATGATAGTGAAGAGGTTTGTATACAGCATAATACCGAAGACTAATGTAAATGGGTTTGAATTAATGTATCAAGCACGAGATATGTCTTCTGGTATAGAAGTTGGCTAAGGGCAATTTATCGACCGACCTTCGTCCATAGCTGCAGCTATAGCTACCCTTTGAAGTTCGTTATTTTCAAACGATTCCCGTGTCTGTAACTCGTCCATGAAAAGACGGAAAATCTAGTTTCAATCGCCAGGACAACACTCCGTCTGTTCGTACGGTTTAGAGCGATAGCGGCAGCCTGCAGCTCGAATTAGATAAACCCTGGTTCCAAGAGGCAGTGCAGGAAGAAGAAGAAGAGCAGGATCAGCGTCAGCGCTTAGCGGAGCTTCCAAGGATCTCGGGAGCGAGAGGGCTTTCCTTAAACCCTAAACCCACCTCAGACCACGGGGGCTCGGAGTTTAGAGCAACGAACTCCTAGAAAGGACTGCGGGAAGAGAATGTGGTTCCCGACTAAAATCGGAAGTTAAATCGCGCCAGCAGCTTAAGACATTATCACTTTTCTTCGCTGGCCAGTTGGTCCGGCGGATGACTGCCAGTCGATTTCGAGAGTGGAAGGAGAAGATCGGACAGGAGAGCAAGGAACAGCTTGAATCCCTTCCAGTTAGGGATCAATGCTTCCTCATCCACCCTCCAATTACGTGTCATCCCTTATGGCCTGTGGGGAATAATTAGAAAGCAGCCCTTCGTCGGGTCCGAGTGCTCGCGCTTGTCGACGCATCGCGAAAAGTTTAGCTTCGTTTTCGTACCGTTTGCGCCGCAACTGCTGTTAAAGTCTCTGGCTGAGCTCGTAACTCCAGCTGCTTTCTTTGACTTCATCGGAGAATACACGAGGCAGGCGTTTGCAGAAGAATTCAGATTGGTCATAAACGTGTCTGGATATTACATTCCTTTTCTACTTGAAATATTATTCGAAGTTCTGTAGACTGTATTTCTTTTAAATTAACAGTTTATCTTGCTGTATTGTATAAAATAGGTAAATAAGTAAGTCAAGTCTTATGAAAAAGTCTTGAATTCCATTTTCGTGTTCCATAACTGTGGAAAGTTTTGGTCAGAAGCTTTCCTTTGGTTTTCAATCTGTCAATTACATTATGATGCATCAGTAAGTGTTATACGTAGTACATATCAGAGTTAAATAAATTCAATGAAAAGTTGAATCTCCGAAATGGAATATCATCGGTAAAATAGAAATTGTACGAGGATTTTGAAATATTTTGGAACGTCAGGTCTCTGGGTCTGTATTGGCAGATAACGGTTCGCTCTCTCAACGGGCATGAAGATCTCGACACCTCAAAATCCGTACTCGTCAATTAATTAGCAAGTGCCATTCGTAGCGGAGGAGATGGTTACCCAGGAACACGAAGCTGCAGAGCGGCCGATGGCGCTCCCACTGAAAGGATTAGAGTATTAGGCGACGTCACGTCACCAGAGTCTAAAGGAGCCTTCTTGGAACTGTGCTCTTAGAGATAGCCCAAACTTGCACACCCCTGCTTTACCGATGGTTCTTTAGTTACTCCCCTTCTCCTTCTCCATCGTACATCGTCATCTTCTCTGTGTGTTCTCTCTCCTTTCTTGTTTCTTCATTTTACTTTCTCTAGTGTTCATTTTTCTTTTGATACCTTTCATTATCTTTTTTTCTTTTTCTTTCTCCTATTCTTCCTCTGCTCTTTCTCCCTTTCAACTGTCTTTGTTGTCAAAAACCTTTCTTCCGTCTTCTATATCCTATTTCTTTTCTACAGTTTCCTTTCCATATTTTCAGTAAAGCTAAATCGAGTAACGTGTAAAAGATTAGAGAACAGTGTAGGCTGAAGAGGCTTTCTTAATGAAACACGTAGACTCCAATCTAGAAATCGTTAGCAGTAGATTCAGTAGATGTCTCTTGTATTGAATACTGAGCGGAAGACATAATCACATGTGAGATATTAGAAGCAGGTATTTTCAATATGAAATATTTCCTCCGTGAAATCTTCATTCTAACCCAAATGAATTAGAATCATTTTCGTCACTTGTGTTCCGGCTGAACACCCAGCGGGGGTGTTCTGGCAAAAGGAACTCGTACATCTTTTTCTCGCCGACGTTCAGGGCTGGAAAAGGGCCGTTGCTGGCGGATGCCGGATAATTTAGGGGTCTTTCACGCGTGGATAATGGGGAACTTGGCTAATGCACCCCACTTGGCACCACGTGGATTCGCGCGAGTTCTGCCTTGCTCAGACTCTTCGTGTTGTCTTCAGTTTTCTTAATACGCCGAGTCCGATAGGCGAAAATCATTGTTCCTTAACTAACAACTAACACGAATCCCATAATATTATTTCTCGCCACAAGAGGCACAAAGACTTCTTAAACATGAATTTTGAACTCTTAGCTCTGACCTCCTGGAATGTTGTCTCAAAAACTTCAGAGGCTTCTTTAAATCAATGACAATATAACTATACATATTTAAAATGAAATTTCAATAGAATTTCCTATTTTAATTTATATGAGATGTGAAAATGTGTATGAGAACAAGGTTGGCACATATTAGAATTTACCTCGACAGTTGAACAACCACTAAGGAAATTCCTAAGGGTAAAAACTCAATGTAGAATTAATTAAATATTAACAACTGAATATCACTCGAATACAATGTTTCAGGATATAATACGCACAATCAGGTTTAGGATGAATACTTTTTTAACGTACCAGGAATAGTACCACGCTGTATTGTCTGACCGTCGACGGTCGCATTCTACTGAACATGATCCCTGTCCGAGAAACCTAACGAATTGGCTTTATTTCGAAGGGGATTCTGTGATGCTGGCCGGCATTCTCTGTCTAGCGGCTTTCATGGCAGGGGCCGAGGGAAAATTTTAAAGCGGACTCGTGTCGTGGCATTAGCGCAAGTGGAGGAAGAACGCTGTGACTGGGACAGCTGCTGGGTTGGACATCAGTTCGCCGCTCGGCTCTCGGGAATACCCCGTCCCTTTACTAACTATCCGCCCTTACGTCAACCACTCTTCTCTCTCTCGCTCTCTCTCTTTCTCTCCTCCTCTCAACCCCCTTTCTTTTCCTCCTTACATTTGCGATGGCCGGTACCCTCGCGCGGAGACTGACGTCTTAAACCAATCGAATTCTGATCAAATATTTAACGCTGCCGAGACCAACGCTTTAAGTGGCTCTTCCATCGCCGGACCCTGTTCCTCTCTGTGAAACACCTTACATCGTTGTCCTGCGCCGTCGAGTTCCTCTTTTTCAAGCCGTTCTAAGCGAGAAATATAGTCCCTTATTTTGGAAGTTTTAAGTGTTCCTCCTTGAGGAACTGGCAACACGATTTCAATGGCGCTGGCCCGCACGCTGACCTTCCAT